CGGCGCCAGGCCTGAGCGCGGGGGGCCTGCAGGGGAACCCCTGGAGGCCGGGCCTGGGGAAGGGCAGTCCAGGGCCCGAGGGGTTTGGTTGTTGGTCTGTGTGTTCCGGTGCCCACGCAAGCCTCCCACGCTTCCCCGGATTCCTGTCTGCCTCCGCCGTCAGTGGGTCTCCGTGTCTCGCGGCGCGTCCGCGCCTGTGCTCGTCTCTCTCACCGCGTCTGTCTCTTTCTCTTTCGCTGCTTTTCTCTGAGTCTCTCTGCGTGTGTCTCCTGAGGTCAGCCTCTCTTCTCTCTCCTGGTAGCTCTGCGGGAACTTCCACCTCTGTCTTTCTCTCTGTGTGTGTCTCTGTCTCTCTCTTTCCAAGTCTCTGGAGACCTCCCCCATCGCTCTAGAACTCGGGGCCTCCGTCTAGATCTGTCTCCCTTGCCCTTTGCGCACACACCTGTGTCCCTGTTAGGCTGGTTTCCCCTAAGGCAGTTTACCCAGAGAACCGCGCGTCCGGGCCCAGCCCCCACCTGCGGGCAGAGCAGGGGAAGGGGACTTCCTCCGGGAATTTGGTCTGAATTTGCGCTGAGTGCCTCAGCTGTGCGGCCATCCAGATGTCTCCTGTGGGCGGCAGCTCACACCACAGCTGTCCTGAGTCCTAGGCAGGCACACCTCAGACCCTGGGTGGGTAGAGCCCCCTCAAGGAGCCTCCGCATCTCACTCTGCCTTTTCTAAATACCCAGAAAATGCGTCTTCGGCTTGGCGGTGATAGGGTCCAAGATGGAAAATCACTTTCCTAGAGGATAGTTGGGGTCTTTCAGTTTACATTTTGAGCAACGGTGTAAATCTGAAGGACCTACGTACCATTCTTTGTTTTAGAAATACAATTTCAAGATTCCTTACAAAAGATCTGTCTTTTGGGTTTAGCATGGTGGCTCACACCTGTCATCCCAGCACTTTGGGAAGATGAGGTGGAAGGATGCCTGTGCAATACAGTGAGACCCTGTCTCTGCAGAAAATAATCATAAAAATAAATTAGCCAGGTGTGGTGGTGAACACCTGTAGGCCCAGGGCCCAGCTACTCTAGAGGCTGAGATAGGAGAATCCCTAGAACTCAGGATGCCGCAGTGAGCTGTCATCGTGCCACTGTACTTTAGCCTGGGTGACAGAGCAGGACTCTGTCTCCAAAAAGAAAACTAATAAACCAGACCTGTATTTGGACTTTGCATTCTCTTCATTCTTTCCCACCAGGCTTGGGCGCTATTTAAAGGAAAGTTCCGAGAAGGCATCGACAAGCCGGACCCTCCTACCTGGAAGACTCGCTTACGATGTGCTCTGAACAAGAGCAATGACTTCGAGGAACTGGTTGAGCGGAGCCAGCTGGACATCTCGGACCCGTACAAAGTGTACAGGATTGTTCCTGAGGGAGCCAAAAAAGGTAGGGGCTTTCCTGAATTTGGGTCACAGAACAGAGGCAGCCAGATCCTTGAGGCACCTTAACTTCATTCTGAGCATCACTTTCTAGCCTTCCTTTTGTATTGCCTGCCTGCCTTCTGCCTCACAGTGAGGCTCAGCCTCCCTGCCTGGGTTATGTGGGTCACAAGCTGAAGTTCCTGTGATGTTTAGCATAGGGGAATTAATCACACTGTATGCCTCAGCGTATATGGGGGTGTGTGTGCATTGAATATGTGTTTTCCAGTTAGTCTTTCAAAAAACAACAAAAAAAAAGAAACCTGGATAACTTGTTAAAATTTACTTATCTAATAGTCTTTAGTGAGTAACTGTTTTGCAGAAGAGGGGTAATGAGAGGAATATCTCATTACCATTCATGGTAATAAAACGGTCAACTTTTAAAGTGTAACATGGTCAGCTGAGGTGCTTATTAAAAGTCAGATTCCTGGACCCTTCTTTTCAAGATTCTGACCAGTGTGTCTGGAAGAGAGCCCAGGAATCTGCATCTTGAACAAATCCTTCAGGTGACCTCGCTTGGGAAACATCTGGCTGGCGGGGTCCTTCATGTCACAAGGCACATTCGCATGCCATCGGTCCTGTATTTCTCTGCCTGTCCTGTACAACTCAGACCTTGCAGAAAAAAACCAGTTTAATAGCATGAACAAATAACTTCCCAAGGGAGTTGCTGAAAAATACCTTATTTGTCAACACCGTGTTATGCATTCTAAGAATTAAATGCTCAGGTATTTTTACAAGATTTGACATTTAGTTAGGTCAGTTCCTGTTTTTACTTTGTGCCATTTCCCTTTTCCCCAAACATGTAGGAGCCAAGCAGCTCACCCTGGAGGACCCGCAGATGTCCATGAGCCACCCCTACACCATGACAACGCCTTACCCCTCGCTCCCAGCCCAGGTATGGGGGAGGGCACTGGGCTCCCTGAGGGCGAGGCTGTGCGGGCCAGCTGCCCACGTGGCCAGAGAACCACAGCAGCCCAGACAGCAGAACTTGCCATTTGCTGTCGCTGGTCCAACCGCCCAGAGAAACCCCAGGTCACCGAACGAATGCCTCTCTTTCCACACGGCGCTGCCATTGGTGTGGGTCTTAAGTAGGGGAGGCTTGGGCGTGTCTGCCTGCTGGAATATGCTCCTCAGGTCTTCTGGGAAACAGCTCTTTTGTGGAAGTGGAAGATTTTGGAAGTAGTGCCTTATCATGTGAAACCACAGGGCAGCTGATCTCTTCAGGCTTTCTTGATGTGAATGACAGCCTTGTTTCATCCACTTTGGTGGGTAAAAGAAGGCAAATTCCCCTGTGGTACTTTTGGTGCCAGGTTTAGCCATATGACGAAGCTTTACATGAAACAGCACAAGTGTCTCCATTGTCCTTTATGATCCTCCGTGGTGTTTCCACCTAGTGTGATGAACGATTCCCTCCAGTCTTTTTGGATGATAAAATTCTTCGGCTGTCAGCCTAATAAGGGATTCCCTTAGGAGTCTGGAGGCTATAAGAGCACCCCCCTACCCACCGTCTCAATGCCAGTGCTTCTTATCTCAGCCTCTCCTGTGCTCCTTTAGCAGGTTCACAACTACGTGATGCCACCCCTTGACCGAAGCTGGAGGGACTATGTCCCAGATCAGCCGCACCCGGAAATCCCGTACCAATGTCCCGTAACGTTCGGACCCCGCGGCCACCACTGGCAAGGCCCAGCTTGTGAAAATGGTAAGGAGGTTACCAGGGAACTAACTGCTAATTTGGCCATGGGCCACGGTGAATCCTGGTCTGTCCTAGGCAGCACCAAAGCTCTTTCCCCTTCTTGGAGGCTGCGTGTGCAGCTCAGGGGAGAGGAGGGTTTTCTCAGTCCTGTGGGATGGTGGCATCCCACAGCCAAGTTTACTGTCAGGATCCATGCTAGGCACTGCCCTTCATGGGATCTTATTTAAACGCCACAGAGATCGCCCCAGGAAGTGGAAAACAGTCCCGCACTTTTTATATATAGAAGAGATCGTGGAAGCTTGTAGATAATAAGTAGGGATGCTGGGAGATTACTGAGCTGGTATGTTTCTCTCGAATAGTGGTGTGTTCACTGTTGCTATTGTTGGTATTAGAGGTGATACTAAAAAAGGAATGGAAAAATACCATGGGCAAACACATAAAACGTCTCTACAGGTGCCTACCTACCACTGGGTCCCAGAGAGACTCCTGATTCTGGATTAGATGCGGTCCCCTGCCCTCAGGAGTTCCCCAGATATCAAAATAAGCTCCATCCGCAGAAGCACTCATTAGCTAGGTGCAGAGAGAATCTCAGCATGCTGCAACTCAGGCTTTCAGGACTTTTTAGTTAGTTACTTAAATAGAAGTCCTGAGATGGGTCAACACATTGAACCCTTTGGATGTTTTAGGAATATTTGTTCCTTTGCAATTTGGCCTTTTTTCCCCCAGTCACGTTCAGGTTATCCTTGGCTGCAGGTAGTGAAGAGGTGTACCGCTATTTAATGTTTGTGTTGAGTGGCACGTTCACAAAAAAGCCCAGAATTCAGTGGGATTGGCTTTTCAAGAGGGATTTGTAGCAAGGGCTGGTTTCCAATATGGTAGTGGAGGAATCGGCTGACATAAAACTAGTTCCTGAAATTCAGACTTGTGTTCAGTGCTCTGGCTCTGTGGAATTAGTGACCATGGGAAAGAGGCGATGCCTGGAATTGTGTAAAGTGATGGAATCGGTAGAGACCTGTCTTGAAGCATTGGTAACAGTAAATGAAGCGGCAGTAAGATCAGGTGTTCTATGCCACATTCTTCCTCCATTCATGTTTCCTACAACATTGTCTTCAGGAACATGGTTCAGTCTTCTCCCAACCCACAAGAGACAAGCAAAATAAACATGGACTAAACAATTTGTTACTTTTTAAATTGGGCTCTTTGGCACAAACTCAAGTGGACCTGAACTCTCAGCTCTGTTGTGAACCCGCTTTGTGAACAAGGACAAATCACGTCATCTGTCTCTGAGCCTCAGCCTCCCTGTGGGTCAGTTACAGAGAGAGCGCTCCAAGATTCCTTTCAAAGCCACGCACTGGCTCATTTCTCCCTCAGCTTTGGTTTTCCAGCTGGTCTCCGGCTCGTCTTTGCCTCACAAGAGTGTGCCCTGCTAGTCGCTGGTGCTGGGAGTGGGCGGGAAGGTGACTGGGCGCCAGCCCCTTCCTTCCCAGGCTTCACACACACACCCCAGGAAGCCCTGCAGTGCGTCGGACTCTCTGTCTAGACATCATCTGACTTTTATTTGCAAATGCAGGTTGCCAGGTGACAGGAACCTTTTATGCTTGTGCCCCACCTGAGTCCCAGGCTCCCGGAATCCCCACAGAGCCAAGCATAAGGTCTGCCGAAGCCTTGGCGCTCTCAGGTGAGTGCAGGGTTTGGTTCTGGAGGCACCGCAGGAGGCCAGCCTCTGCCGCCAGCTCTGTCATCTTTGGGCAGATTCAATGGGACTTTAGACACTTGCTTTGCTCCCCCGGGGTCTGGAGTAGATGTGGACACATCCTGTGCGTGAGGTGACCAGAGTGAACTAGGAGCACCATTGGAAAGACCCAGCATCACTGCTTGTGGTTCTGCTGACAGTTTCAGCCACTGGCTTGAATGGAGTCATTCTGGCTTCGTCACTGGCACCTCTCCGAATTTCCAGGAATGTGCAAACACTCCAGTTTCCTTTACCAAGGGCCCCTCTCCAGCCAGCGTTCTCTGTGCGGAAGTGTGGAAGGGCTTGTCATTTGGAGAGGCTGAACGTCCTTCCGGGTTGAGCCACAAATGAGTCCTCCTCCTCTGCTCCCTGGGGACATTAGTTCTGGTCCCTCGATGACATTGATATGCCTAAAAGTAATACACATTTTGGTCTTTCATGTCGCTTGCAAACAAATATGGATTCAACCTGATTTTTAAGTTTTATTTAAAAAAAAAAGGAAAAAAAGTCCTGCATCATAGATATCTTACCTGTTGTAAAAAAGGCACCCTTAGACTTGCCAAGCATGTGTGCTGTATGTCTATTCATTTTTTAGATAATATTTTGGATTGTTTTTAAGGTTTGGAATTCTCATCTTGCCCTTTGGCATCTTTAAAAATCAGTGATGAAAAATACTAACTAAATTCTGAAGGTTTCAGGGAGACGAGAGTTGTGGCACTACGGGTGCACACGGGGGCTGGAGTTTTACCTGCCCGCTCTTTCTAGTTCTGAATGAGGCTTGCACCTTTTTTTCTGAGATGCTCGTGAGTACCGAGGATGCCCTTTGGGAGGAGGTGCTTCTGAGCAGGAAGGCTTGTGTTTGTTTTTAGAAACTTTCAAACCCTTGTCTTGAACACCTAAGACTTGTGTGGGTGCCTGAAGAGTAGGAAATAAACAGCTATTTATATCTCTGCAACCTCGTGATTTCTGATGACATTAAATGAAATGAAACCTGCCCCGAGAATCACCTCGAATGGCCAACACCCACTCTCTTTGGGGCGCACTGTCTGACTCGTTCTCCGTGTGTTGAAGCAGAGAATTGAGACAGTGATGTGGGTTAAGTCTCAAAACCTGCTATTGAGGAGTAAGACAGTTTTGTGGGTTTCTTTTTTTTTTTTTTGGTATGCATAATACAGATTAATTATCAGCCATGAGCACATTTGTTAGAGAACTGTGATTCCCACTGATTGTGGGGTCCCATACAGTTCCCAGTGGCGACTGCCCCTGTCTGTGCCGCTCCCCTGCAGTCTGGCTGAGGAGCTTATGCAAACCTAGCTTGGTTCTTTCAACTCATGGGCGATGTTTCAAAGAGGTTTCTGAAATCAGCCAAACGTTTGTAAATGGATTCATCTTGTTTAAAGTTTCAGAGAGTTTTAGAGTTCTTTTCAAACTTAAACACAAAGCCCAGTGGGAATTTCGGCAGACTTTACATGAACTTTTAGAGCATTTTTCTCATTAATTTCTTTCTTTTCACAAGAATTAATTTTGTGATAAAAACATCACATATCCAGTGTGGAAAACTAATTTAAAAATCAGAAAAACAAGAATGGAAAATAAAAACGTCACATTCCGCCACCCAGAAATCACCATTAAGGTCTTAGTACTTACCCTTTAATGTGTATATGTGTGTGTATGTTTATATATAAACTATATAGACATAAATAAGCACCTAATTATATATATAACTTACATATATGTATACACACACACACACACACACACACTTGCTTTTACCTAAATGATGTCATATTATTATTTTGAGGACCTTTCAGATTTGTGGACAGACTTGCTTCTTTCTGAAACACCGTCATATTTTTTGCTAGTAGAAATTAAACTTAGGGTTCATTTCTTACCAGAGTAAAAACTGATTTGCTTAAAGATGAATTTTCATTCAGTGACACATGACTTAAATGTCATCACCACTATCATCATCATCATTCACAATAAGACTTAGTAAGTTCTTAATGGTGATGATCTATAACCTGAATTCAACTTACTTTTCCAGAAAATTAATGAAAGACACACTCGTCCCTTAAAAAAAGAGTCTGTGGCCACATACATTTGAAATATGCTGGTTTAGACGAATTAAATGGGTTTTTTCCACGGGATTTCTCTAAGTGTTGATCTCGGGGGGAAACAGGGCATGTGGCGTCTCCCAGGCCTCCTGGACGCCAGAACCTTTTGCTCCTCCACGGAGCCTGTGGGACAGTCGAGTTCCACCGCAGGTGCTTGGCTCTGTGGAGTCGCTGGCCTCGAGCTGGTGTCCTCGGCCCCCAGCACTGACCCCGGGGCTCTGTGTTTGCAGACTGTCGGCTGCACATCTGCCTGTACTACCGGGAAATCCTCGTGAAGGAGCTGACCACGTCCAGCCCCGAGGGCTGCCGGATCTCCCATGGACATACCTACGACGCCAGCAACCTGGACCAGGTCCTGTTCCCCTACCCAGAGGACAATGGCCAGAGGAAGAACATTGAGAAGCTGCTGGGCCACCTGGAGAGGGGCGTGGTCCTCTGGATGGCCCCCGACGGGCTCTACGCGAAAAGACTCTGCCAGAGCCGGATCTACTGGGACGGGCCCCTGGCGCTGTGCAGCGACCGGCCCAACAAGCTGGAGAGAGACCAGACCTGCAAGCTCTTTGACACGCAGCAGTTTTTGTCAGGTGAGGCACTTCATTCTGTTAGAACGGAGGTGGTGATGGCCCACCTGCCACAGGGGTCAGAAACGACAGGGTCCCTCTCACCCCAGGCTGAGGTCTTCCTCCTGTTGACGCCGGAGCCCACCGGGCTTGGGGCTTGGCCCCAGTAGAGATCTTCTGTCTGGCTCCGTTGAGGGCAGAGAGTCCGGATCAGATGGTCCAGGTGGACAGTGGCTCAGGCTGTACTCTTGCAATTCTGGTTTTCAACAGTCACCTCTTAACACAGTTCTGTTTTATTGCACTGTGATCTCAACAAACACGTCTGCTGATGTGACGGCTCTTTTCAGATTCCCAGAAAAATCATAAAGGTTAGAAGCATATTGTTAACATTCTTGGTTGTGAGAGGGGTCACCCTCATGCAGATGCCACCCCACGAGTGAGACGGAGGGTGGAGCGGACCGTACTGGTTCTGCACAGGAGAAGTTACAGGAGAGTGCTATGAGTGGGCTCTGTGATATGAACGTTTCTAAGCATAGTTTTCAGAACCAGTGAGTTTTGTTTCTCTCCCTTGGATTTCATGACCATTCAGTGAAGCTCTGGCTGGCTTCTGTGAAGCCCCTGGCCCTGTCCTGCTGGGCTTCCTCCCAGGCTTCGTGTGGCCGTCCAGGTGGAGGGAGCCTCCCACGAGGGAGGGAGCTGCTCTACCTGCCACCCCACCGCCAACTCTTCCTCCGCCTTTTCCCAGCCCTGTTCCTTCTCGAGCCCCTTCAGAAACTCCTGTGTCTTTGGTTTTTCCTGTGCCTCCCCTTTTCTTGAATGTGCTTCTTCATTCCACTTATTTAAAATAAAAACAGGACCCACCTCTGTGCCCTGGCATTGTGGACACGTGCTCTTGCTTTTGGGCGTAAGTGGCCCACATTTGTGTAAGCTCATCCAGATTTTCTTTTGGTGCCCAAAGCAAATGTGTCCCTAGATAACTAAGCTTCAGGCCGGGTGCAGGGGCCCACGCCTGTAATCCCGGCACTTTTGGGAGGCTGAGGCGGGCAGGTCAGTTGAGGCCAGGAGTTCGAGACCAGTCTGGCCAACATGGCAAAACCCCGTCTCTACCAGAGATACAAAAATGAGCCGGGCGTGGTGGTGCGCACCTGTCGTCCCAGCTACTCAGGAGGCTGAGGCCTGGGAGGCGGAGGTTGCAGTGAGCTGAGATGGCACCATTGTGTTCCAGTTCGCAGGACAGAGCAAGAGTCCATTCCGGCCCCCACCCCCACCGCCAAAAAAAAAAAAAGATAACAAGATAACTAAGCTTCACACAGAGGCTGACAATAGGAAGAGGGAGAACTGTGCAGGTTCCCGAGGTGAGGAAGTCACCTCGGGCTGGACACCTCTCATTCTAAGGGCAGCACCATCCCCAGTCCCCGGCCAGGGCGGTCCCATCCTTCTTGGGGCTGGGCGTGGAGTTCATGGGGAAACCAAGGAAATTGAAGGGCAACTGGGGAGACCCCCCGTCAGCCTCTCCTGTGTCTGCCTTGGGGTCTGGAAGAGGTCACATGGGCCAGGAAGGCTAAGGCCCAGTGGGCCTGGATTTCTGAAGACTCTGGACCTTGGTGCCAGTGGTTTCAGAAGATGCCACAAGGTGAGGGCTTTCTAATGAAGGTGTCACAAGGAACAGGCACTGTCTTCTCCGAGTGCCTCTTGCCAGGCGTTTTTAGGGAGGTGGAGCCCCCATGGTGACTGAGCTGGAAGGTGCACTCTGAGTCACAGGTGCACTGCGTGAGAGAAGGCACAGGCGGGGGCGGACGCCTGTGAGTGTCCTGGGGCTGTGGACTTGCAAGCCTAGAACTTACTATTAATCTGTGCGCAAGAGCTGGTCTTGGTTTTCATTCCTTCCTCTGTGACCGAGGGCTGTGCTCTGTGCCCACTGCAGCCTCTCACCTCGACGTGTTCGCTGAGGTTCAAGGAGGATGCTGTGAACGTAAAAACTGCGGCCGTGCCGACCAGCGTCTGCATAATTAAGGATTCCCACCAAACGCTCGCATGTTATCTAGGGTCGGAGGCAGGCTTTTTCAGAGAATTGTGCCACCTCGCCATTCTGACTAGCCTGTGTAGGTGTAGTCTCAGATCATGGCAGTGTGAATGTGTTTTACACATTCTGACTAAGTCATTTGGGTTTGATTTGAATTCTGGAAAAAAAAAAAAAAAAGCAGGAAGTCAAGCAGTCCTGTAAGTTAGCTAGAAATTTCTGTTCAGTTGAAGAGAACAGTGGAGATCTCTGATATCTCCCTATTCAGGTCTGCACAGCACTAGGGACAGCCCCGGGGCACGGCCCGAGGGTGTGTGTCTGATAGGGACACATCTGCTCTGCAGAAGCTTTAGCAGCTCCTGTGTCAACTGGTTTCTTTTGCGGGCTTGACATTTTATTGTAGGTACAGGCAGAAGATTTGCCTTGTGTACGGGGAGGGGACATGGTCTAAAGTCAGGGGATGGGCACTCGTCTTTCCAACAATGTTCCAGTCCGTTTCGTATCTTTTGGGTAGGTGTGGTGGCTTCAGGAGGTATTTGTGCGTATCCACAAGCCGGAGGCCGGGGGGCTGCCCCACTCCCCTTCTCAGGTCAAGTTACTGTTCTGTCCCTGGAGATAGGCACGAGTCTAGTCAGAGTCACGCAGTTCAGGCACAGTGACAGCGGGACTCAGCTGCCGAGGGCTGGTGCTAGTCACCACGTTGATGTTACGTGTTTTCTGTGGTGCCTGAGTTACGTGGATATCCGCAGTAGCACAGACACTGGATTGTGTGGGCTCTGTAGGGATGGGATGAGGTTTTAAAATGATCCCAGGATGTCAAAACATTCTGATTTTTTAAAGGAAAACTTGTCCATGGCATAAATCAGTCTTTTGCCATTGCGTGACTATGTTTCTCGTCCTTTATCTCCCAACTTCACTGCGGTCTACTACCTTTTGAATCTTCGTGGGCCCAGTGCTGCAAAGCAGTGTGCTTTAGCTGTCGACTAGTTCCTCTTGAAGCATCGAGGGAGACCGAGGGCCCTGGGGAAAAAGCGTACATGCTATTTTGTATCTGAGATGTTCACATCAAGGGCCCTAGTCAGGGAAGTAAAGAGGGCTCATTCCTCTTGCATGTTCAGAATCATAGTAAGCTCTTGCTTCCTGTTTAACCTGGTGTGTTTGGTGATGAGGGTTTCTGAACATGGTCTTTTTCTTGTGGGCTTCCACAGAGTTGCAAGCGTTTGCTCACCACGGCCGCTCCCTGCCACGATTCCAGGTGACTCTGTGCTTCGGAGAGGAGTTTCCAGACCCTCAGAGGCAAAGGAAGCTCATCACAGCTCACGTGAGTCTCCAGTTACGATCACACCATAGTGGTTTCCTGTTCTTTGTAAAGGGCAGAGTTTCATTTAGAAAAGTCCCAAATGAAAAGTAAATGTCAAATGACCTGGAAAAATAAGCGTAACCCTTAAACTAATGAGGGAGGAAGCATGGTCCAGCAAGCAGCACAGTCTGAGGACCCACGTGCTCCTCCCAGACCTGAGATCTGCTCGTCAAAGACCCAGGGAGGACAGCCTCAGTGGAGGGTGCCTCTCTCCCCATCTTTTTTATTTTTCAGGAAAGTTGTCATATTTCCATTTTACAGGGATTGAAAAAGATTGATGGTCAAAGCTGCCCTTTAAAATTCTCCATGCTAAGATGGCTCTAAGAATGCTGTCTAGCTAGTGGGTCTTCATTCAGTGGAAAAGCTTTTCCCAGATGGGAAACTGTCCATTCCCTGGAGGCATTTTGTGGGTCTGCATGTGTGTCCTGGCACCTCTTTCATTTCTGGAATTTTAGAAATTATTTAATTATTGGGCATATGATATTTGAAAGAGGCTGAATCTTTCAAGGAATGCAAGTAAATCAGACCCTCATAATGTTCTCTAGTGTGGTTCAAGATGGGTTCAACGGTGGCAAATAATGCTAAAGGGTTAGGGTTAGGATTAGGGTTAGTTTTCTTTTTTATGAGAAAAGGTTTCTATAGATAACATGAAGCATTAATTTGCCACGGAAAACAGATTCTTGAACCCTTAAGACTTTTGAATTTCAAAACTTCACATTGCTACGTACTTGCAAGCGTCATTAATGGGCTTGCATGGTGAGCAATACCAGGTAAAACTTACACCCCTAACATCAAAATTCCCATCATATTGTAGCTCTGATGCTGTTTCTCATTGAGAACTGAAATGAAACATGGTTTAATCTTGAACATACAACCCCCCTTCTTGATTTTGAAAACAAAGACCAACCCACCAACCAATGTGTAATCCCATAGACTGAGGATTTCTCATGAGTTCTCTCCAGTGATTGACTTAACAATTGCTATGATTGTTGAAATCATAACTGATATGTTGTTAACAACAGGAATTGCTAAATGACTAAATAAACTAGGCATTGATAAGCAGCATTTAAGAAGTTGATGATCGGCCAGGTGCGGTGGCTCACGCCTGTAATCCCAGCACTTTGGGAGGCCGAGGTGGGCGGATCACGTGGTCAGGAATTTGAGACCAGCCTGACCAACATGGTGAAAACCCCCTCTACTAAAAATACAAAAATTAGCCAGGTGTGGTGGTGCGCACCTGTAATCCCAGCTACTCAGGAGGCTGAAGCAAGAGAATCACTTAAACCCAGGAGTCAGAGGTTGCAGTGAGCCGAGATCGCACCACTGCACTCCAGCCTGGGCGACAGAGTGAGGCTCTGTCTCAAGAAAAAAAAAAAAAAGAAAACAAAAGAAATTGATGATCAGCTCAGCTATACATCAGTCCAATTTTAAGGTTGACTTGGATGAAGTTGCCGTCCTCTAAGTCAGGGAAAGATGGATCCCCAGATGATCCCGTCATCCTGAAGACGAGGCTGTGAGATCCGTAAAATGAATAAACACACATGTACACCTATGAGTTCCACTTTTAAAAGTTATTAATTTAATTCATTTCAGGTACTCAGGAGTTTTGCTTAAGTCGCTATATATAAAATATAGACTTTAATATCGTGATTGATGGAGAGCATTCAGCTTGCCTTAGATGCTGTAAATTCAGGAAAAGCTGAACGTTAAGGTGTTTTTGTTTTTTGGTGAGCGTGATTCATGCTAATAACCAGACGGGATAAATTTGAGGCCAGTTAACTTCTCTTTTTCCACAAGATAGTTTTGTTGTTGTTTAACTTTACTTTTTTTTTCTTTTACCTCTGGTTTAGAACGATACCGATTACCTAGAAATCAAATCATTCAGGATGAGCCCTTGTTTCTTTCAAACTGCAGTTGTGGAAAAACAAAATCATTGGCCTAAATTACCCTGAGATTACCTCAGACTTCCTTTTAATTTAATCACTTTACTTGATTTGATTCAGTTTTAGTTAAATGTACATTTTAAGTGGCAGCTGATTTAAAAGTAACATCTTTAACCCAGAATTAAGTCGCTTTGGCTGTTTTTTTACATGTTGATCTATGGAAGGACTAACAAAAAAATTGCTTCTTTAGATGGCTCCATATATGAAATGTTTTGATGTGTTCTAGGACGTAAGCTGGGGCTTTACGTTACCGTCTCCTTAGAATCTGAGCGCTGTTTAATAGTGAGCCAGTTGCGGGATATCTCAGTAATGTCTTTTTAAAAATCTCTTATTAAAGGTAGAACCTCTGCTCGCCAGACAATTATATTATTTTGCTCAACAAAACAGTGGACATTTCCTGAGGGGCTACGATTTACCGGACCACATCAGCAATCCAGAAGATTACCACAGATCTATCCGCCATTCCTCCATTCAAGAATGAAAAATGTCAAGATGAGTGGTTTTCTTTTTCCTTTTTTTTTTCTATTTTTATTT